AATCTTAAGATGTATCATTAAGGATACCTGTGTGATATAGCGAAGAGAGTTTTATGTAGGCTCCTGTAGTTTAGAACACAAGATTCTGGATTATTTACATTAATCGATATTTAGTTTGAGCAGCAAGATGGCCGCGCCCCCTGACATACCCTCAGACGAATTATTTCTAAAACAGTTTTGTTCCACATTTCAGCAAAAGAACATCTTATTTTTGTAATTTTTTCGGGGGCTTTGTCGTATCAGCGTTTTTCCCTATAACTCAATGTTGTCTTGTATAAAGAAAATATCGAAGCCTTTCGATATGCAGTACAAAGTCCATCGGAAAACAATGGAAGTTGAACGCGTTCATTTATTTGACCGATAACTCCCTAAATTAGCCAAAAACCTCTTATAGAGGTTTATGTTTACCTCTTATAGAGGTTTATGTTTTTCGAGAAGCTCATTCAATCGACATTTTCTTCATTGGGTTTTCATGTTGGGCATTTTGTGTTTGTTATCGTGTCGAAAATATTTATGAAAGTTGAGAACGATAACAACATGAGAGTTTGGAGGAGTGCGGAGGGTGTGTGCGAATAGAGCATTTTGATTGGTTACCTACAGGTGGTGTCGGTGCTATTGTCAACAATGTTCGATGGAGCACGTACGCACTAGCGCTTTTGAAACAACAGTATTTTTTTTGTCTTTAGGGCCGATTTGGTGAGAGTAAATTTTAAACACAACTTCTTATTTGAACGGAAAACCTGAGCTTTAGCTGGTGATGAGATCGGTTTGGGCCCCTTTTTTTTCGTGACGTTTTATTCAACGGGAGATGGTAGTTAACCGCGGTAAAAAATCAGGTGCTAAACCGGCAATAAATTATTCAAAACTTCACTTTGACTAAATAACGATGATACTGGTTAAAGCAAAGTGTTCGATTTTTAACTGATTTGAGGATTTTTATCTCGTAAGGGGTTTACAACTACAACTATAATCGAAAACTTACTGTAAGTGTAATTATAACAAACGACTTGTTTTTCAGAAGGTTCTAGAGATTTAGAGATTCTCAAAATTTTCCTTAAGTTTTACTATTCTTTTCTCGGCAATTTCAGCCAGTTAAAATAACTGTTTTCAATGTCTGACCAGTGATATTTTGGGAAATTTTCTAACGAACACCATGACATTTAGTAACACCTAAATTAAACTTCTCGGTAAGATTGCACTTTCAACATCGTGGCTGTTACCAGGATGCATTTTTTATCACCTTTTAAGATGCTTAGTTTTCAGTAGGAAATTTGTTAAGTGTCCTTTAATTACATACATTTCCATTAGATGTAGTTCAATCTTACAGCATTTTACTTTTCATGGATTCCTTCACTGAGTAATGTTTTGGTCAGGATTTTTTGCTTTCTACAGTAAAATCAATGTTTTTGTTTGTTTTTTTTTCATATACAGCCCTGAGACTAGCTGGGATTGACAACCTATTTGATGTAGTGCTTGGAAATGAAGATTATAAAGAACACAAACCTAAACCAGATGCATTTATCACAGCAGCCAGTAGACTTGGCGTCAAACCTGAGGAATGCTGGGGCTTCGAAGACACGTAAGGACTTTATTTCTTTTCACTTCCTGAAACTGTTGTATTCAATTGCCATTTGTCATAAAATATCTCTTGGAATAATATTTTACTTAAACTCCAGTTGAAACTTGTTTTCGTAATAGGAGTAAAATTCATAAGGTTTTGTAGTTGCTTTTTAGCAGCAATAAAGCACTACATGTTTTTAATGGTTTACATAACTTTTTCACAAGTTCTCACTTTGGCAAAGAGAAGCAAGGGCTATTATTCATTTCAAAATACGAGCTTTACACCGTTTAACTTAAAACTATAATGTTTGAAATATCCCATCAAAGCAAATATTGTAATATCAGTGAAACCCTAGTTCAGAAAATAGCATATCTGATTGATATTTTAGGGATATTGGCCTTGAAGCATTAAGACAAGCTGGATATCACAGGATAACAGATGTACGGCAAATGGAAGGATATCCAGTCAGGACAGATGAAAATGGACTAGCAATAACAAATCACAGCACAGAATTTCGTACTCAAAGATATAGAGCCTTTACAACTTAAAGAGGTAATTGACATGCCTCTGTAAAGTGTAAAGTTACCATGACATTCAGTGCAACCCTTAAATGATGGTAGATGTGTCACTGAGTTACTTTGTTTCATAAGTTATTTTTATTTCATTCTAACTTTCCTTTTTCTTATTCTATATATTAAAAGAAAATTAAATCGGCCTTTTCAAGAGGATCTTTGGTGGAATAATGTTATTTAAAAACCACATCAATTTAGAAGCTGTAAAATCTACATTTATCTTTAGAGATGTGAACAAAAGTTTCCAGGGGACAAGATCTTTGAAGTAAGAATGTGGAAATGGATATCATTTTCAGAAACCTTTTAAAAAATGTTTAGTCTAGCTTTTACTCATCAAATGAATTTTGCAGAGTTCAGTTAGGGTTTGAAACATATATTAATTTGAACATTGTGGAGTGGAGTGATGTTGGACAATTCATGTTTGGTAGAGAGCTTTAGATAATATTTTTCATTTGTCAACAGTCTGCATTTGAGGGTTGCACTGAAATTTTCAAATCTATAAACTTTTGTACATGCATTGTACATTAATTTTATAAAATAAGGATCTGATCACACTCTTAGGCCCACACACTCTTAGACCCACACAACTTCAATTTTTTGACAATGATCTCATGGTGAAAAACTTTGAGAACTAGTTAATGTTACTATACTCCAAGCTAGGTGTTTGGTGATTGAAGATTCTATTTCTGTTATAGATGATTAAGAGTTGATTTCTTTGTATGTAATTCTTGCTTTTACCAAATCTGCTTTGTAGTTTCCTGATTGCTGCTATTTTGTTACATAATTTTTAGTAGGTTTTTGATTATCAATCAACTGAAGTTCAGTTGACCATTACATCCTAAGATTAGCAGACCCATGAATATCACTGAGAATGATTTGAAAATAACGGTTACTAATTACATAGGGAACAAAGTGATTATACACTGAAATTATTAACAGCAAAAGTATTTGGTTTAGATGATGTTGAAACCAGAAAGGTTGCAAATATGCTATCTCTTTAAATTTTGTTGTAAAAAGTTATCATGATGTATTTATTTAAATTTTAGTCTCCCAAGTTTTATTGGGAATCATTAGAAGGTATTAATGATTTAAATATGGGAAGGATAGGCAGAAAAATTACATTCACCAGAGAACAAAACATGTTGGAGTTAGTGATTATAAGCAGAGTATGATTCTTTATAAATTATATGTAGTAAAACTATGTGTTTTATTACTGTTAGAACTATCCTTCTCTGATATCTTGATCAGATGTGGAAACTTGTTTAGAGGGAAAGGAAAATGAACTGGGAAATGATTGAATGATGATATTGATCAATGCTTCATTGTAAAGAAACCACAAAGAATATCAAGAGCATCAACATTGAAAGATTCCAAAATTGTTTTCACAAAACAAATAAGTTGAATTATTGCAACAATGTTATTATCCATACTTGTTGTTGACCGCATAAAATTATAGGCAGATACAGACACATTCTAATGTTGAAGAATGTGCCTAGTTACTTTGAAGGAACTGACCATGCAGTAATTTCGTACATTATCAAATTGATAAATTTCTTAAGCTTGCAGGTGACAAGATTGAAGAAATTGTCAGATTTAATTCCAAATTACCACAGCTAGAATGTGATAAAAAGTTAAGCTAGCTGACAATAAAGGGACTTGACATTAAGATTAAGCTGCTACATCAAGGGAAAATAGTATAATTAAAAAGAAAATAAATAGATGAATATTTACTTCGATGTGTCATTAATTTTCTCTTGGGTTCATTAATGTTATTTTTTTTGTACCGACCAATTCATTTGTGAGTCCAGACTTAACCCTTTTACTCTAGTAACCCTTTTAAAAATGTGGCTTTTTGCTAGAGAGGAAACTTGTTTTAACTTCTGAAACTAGGTAGTCTCTGTTGCAAGGCTACGTTATCAATATCAAAGCGTGACCTAGCACTACATTCATTTGATAAAAATCTACACATTGACCACAATCAACAAAAAACAATTCCGATTTTAAACTCTTTCAAGTTCATTCTTTCGCACGTTTAGAACAGAAAATTGGGCATTTTTATGTTAAAATACTTCAGTGTTCTACAAGGTCAAATCGCCAATGGGTATGTTGAAGTCTTTGGAGATTGCTTGCTTGAAGAAGTGGTCTCCTTTCGATGACCCGTTCTTCCAATTCTGAGATCGTTTTTACACGAAGAAAATTTTGAGAAAAATCAAGAAATTGTTTGTTGACAACAGAGAAGATGCGGTGAAACCCAATTTTCACGCAGTAACATTTGATGGTCATGACATTGCAGTTCTCCTTGAAGTTCCGTGTATCATCACGGAACACAATCTCACGCAACAAACCATTACTGTAAGATAGGGATAAGTCTTCGAGGTTCTGGACTAACGGATTGGAGGAGTTCAATATTTAAACGTTTTCTAGAGTTTGAAAGGGCCGATTTCACGATTGTCTCGAAATGCTTTCATAGTCCGTATTTTACTCTGATTTAAATGTAAAACAGGCATTTACATACTTCAGTCCATTTAAATGTCAAAATCGTAAGTACGAGCAGTTGAAAGGACGGTTCGCGCAGTTGAAGTAGACGGCGAAATTCCTCCCACACGATGAGTTTCTCAGAGGGTTATTCCTACCGCTATTGTTGAGAATAACTGTCTCAGAGACCGAATTTCTTTTCTTGAGACAAGGTAAATGAATAAATATACTTCTACATTATTTTGAGTCGAGAAGAAGAAAAATGGACTTCATAATGCCAGTAGTACTAGTAGTAGTCTTGGTAGTCCAAAGTCCAGTTCCGTAGTCCTATACAATTCCAATAGAATAACTGCGAACCATAAGTCCGTGACGATGAACACAAACCTCATTCATTCGCGGATTTCGCGATTGGCGGTGAATGACCCAGAGTGATATCAAGCCTATCACCCACGTTTTTGGGTGGTACCCATTTTTTTTTAACGTTTTAGAAAACATTTCTCATATCTTCGTGCCAGGGGGTTCATCACTGTAGACACAATTAACTTTGCGCCCAGGTGCTTCATCGATGAACAACGACAGAAGGACCTAGAAAACAAAGGAGAGAGATCCCATACTAAACCAACTCTAACCACGCTTACAACGTAATTCATGGTAACATTTTACATTTTGAGAAAGAAAATCTTGATCGCTGAATCGGAGAAAATTATTGATATATTTGGAAGGGCAAGTTGATAATATTGCGCAAGACAAACCCAGGCCAAGAGTTTTCAACTTTCGTCGCAATACGTGCAAGCTTCTTTGTGAGGACTTAGGCGGGAAGTGTTTGCTCTTGTTGGAAAGCTGTTTATTTTTCTCTCAACAACACTTTCGCGGAATGCCATTACCCGCAGAGGTTAAAGGGCTGATATTTGATTGTGACGGGACATTGCTGGATACGATGCCTTTACACTGGAAGGCTTGGTGTGCAATCTGCAAGGAAACTGGTTTAAAGTTTGACAAGGAGAGCTTCTTCGCTCTTGCAGGAGTACCTGGGAGAGAGATTATTCGCGAACTAGCAAACCAGCAAGGGATCAATTTAGATCCTCTCGAAGTGTACGCTAGGAAGCGATCTTTCTTCCTCAAAGGACTACAATCTGTGAAAATAATTCCTTGCGTTGTACGCTTTGTTTTGGAGGCTCGACGCCTTGGTATTCCAACAGCAGTAGCATCAGGGAGTTCCCGTGTTCAAGTCGAACAAGGTATATGGAGTCAAAAAATTTTTACATACTCACTAAATAAATGGACAGTTTTACTTTGAATAGTTTTTCCAAGTTGTGGTCGACTTTTCAGTGTTTTGAACATTGATCACTTGACGCATGAGAAGGGTCAAAGTCCATTTCCGCAAACTCTCCAGATCACCCTTTGACCACACTAACGATTCATCCTTTCATGATCACTTTACTCACTTTTAAAAAGTTTGAATATTCACCCTACCTTAAAATTAAAAAGAAACGTAGAGAAATCAAAGACATGAGAAGTGTCTACACTTCACGATCATAAGTTAATTGCTGCGGCTCGTGATGTGAATAAATTTCAGCTGAAATCCGCCCTTGTATTAGGAACAACACGCGAACTACACGAAATGTGGTCAGAACATTTTAATATAGTGTAAGTTATCGAAAGAGAATATTTGTATTATTTACTTCGCTGTTCATGACATTAAATAGCTCTGATAGAAGCTGGGATTCGTGACTTGTTCGACGAAATTGTTGGAAACGAAGATTATCAGAATGCGAAACCTCATCCTGACGCATTCCTTACAGCTGCAGAAAGATTGGGTATAAACCCTCACGACTGCTGGGCGTTTGAAGACTCGTGAGTATTTCAAGATTTTTTCGATTGAATGTATTGTTCAACCGAATTTATATGGCTTTACAGAGCAACTCACTTGCCCATAGTTCCTTTTTTTACAACTGATTGTCTAGTAATTGATCGCAGATGACGTTTAAGGGTGGTAACAACAAATAAGAGGTATGCGAAGTGCAGCTAAGTGTGTCAGTGATATTCTAGCCATATTTCGTCGTCCCCTGTGATCTATTTTTGAACAGACCCACGGCAACTTGGCTACAAAATGATAAATTTAATTCATTTCGTGTCCCACACAAAACTTATTTTTAAAAATGAAAAAAATTTTAAAAAAATAACCACAGGTAGTTGGTAAGTCAAAGAGGTGACAGTTTAAAATAAAGAAAGAAGGAATTAGAATGATAAACTTCAGAGAAGATACACATGAATTGCAAACAAGGATCGAGAATTGAGTTTCTGGGGGCTGTAAACTTACTTTTGAACAGGCTTAAAAAATATAAATACTGATTAATTTGCATCACAATATTTTTCAGGGACATTGGAATTGAAGCAATAAAAAGAGCTAACTTTGCCAAATTTGTGGATGTGCGGCTTCTAGAAGGGTATCCTGTGGAAGGTAGATTTGAAAGTAAAGGCTAGGGAATGAGCATTCCTGAAATGAAGAAACACAAGCCACGTTGTGAGGTGCTGACCAGTCCAGATGGCCCCCACAAGTTTCAATGCTGACCAGGACTGTTTTAGGGTTAGACTGCAGAGCCTCCTCACTAGCAATCATAGATGACTGTTAAAAATTTGCATTTTTTTGAATTGGAGAATTCACCATGAGCAGGAGGTAGTAATCAACACTAATGTGAACAAACAGTCTTCAAAGAAACATCAAGATTTAAAGAGTCTGCACCCTTTAGAAGTGTCTAACAACAAAAAAAAAATTGTAGAAAGGTTTTTCAAGTTAGGCATATTTTTAATTCATTTGATAATGTTACCCAAAACTTATCTTTTCCCAAAAAACAAACAAAAGAGGACAGTTACAAAAGCAAATTTTAAGCCATGATAGTAATGAATTTAAATACCAGTACTGTTGATTTGTTATCATTAAATTTTTTCAAGAATAGGTAGATATTTTAAAAATTAGTTCAGTTCATTAATTGTAGTTATTTAGCAGCAGCATGTGCATTGTTCTTTTTTCCTGCATAAACTTCAAGTTGTAACCTGCAGAAAACAAGGATGCAAATTCTGAATTTTGTATTCACATCATTCACCACATAGTTTTACATCGTTTTTTTTTAATTTAGATCTCCAATGTTTCATCTAAACTTGATATTGTATTAGTGTTTTCTCTCATTTTTTCCCATGTCAGGTAAAATAAATTTTTAACTAGTAGAGCAACCTTCTACTTGTTGAATTTTCAGGAATTCCAAGCCATGTTAGGCATTAATAAGATGCACTTCAGGTAGTTAATTTAAGCAGTTATCACCTGAAAAGGAGAATACTGTTGTATCATACTTGTTCTACTTAGACTTTTATGTGAAGTACTAGACAAGTACAGTCTTGAAGTGTGATAACTACACCATTGCTTTTATGCTTATGAAATTTTTACCTGAAATACAGAGTAGGTGATATAACATGTTAGTTGCTTTTGTGTACATATTCTTTTATCGTTTAACTTTTCTTTCTAAGAGCACATCGGTAGTCACTTGCCAAAAAATACGTAAGTAGCATTATTAATTCAATATTATATTTATTCAATAAAATGCTCTTGCCCCACTACAATTTGTTCATAAGTGGAGTAATTCAAACTGACAATACCAATAGCTACAGCTGTGGTATTTTCAAATGTTTGATTCACACATGGATAACATTTATCAGAGAGCAAACAGTATTTTAACTACTGTTGTTTTAACAGTTCACAGAACTTTACATGTAGTCTATTGGAGTCAACAACAAATTTCATTTTTGGGCTTAAACTTTTCAAACCAGTTTTGTATTTTCTTTCTCTTGTATCTTATTACGACCATTGTTATCATTATTACAATCTGAAACATAGTAAAATGAAACTGGTTCAAAAAGCTTAAACCAAAGATCACCAATATCTACACACCAGGATTCAAAATATGAATTTAAGCAACGCACTGATTTGCTTTCCTTTGCCTCATTCCACACCTCTAAACAGTTTGATTTAAAAACTTTTTTTAAAGTTCAGATAAACACTAAACACAGTTTTACATGTTTAATGTTAATCTCAATGTCAAAGAAGTTTTTAAATTAAACTGAAAAGTGCAGTGAAATGAGTAGAGGGAAAATGAAACAGTGTATAACAAACTAGCATCATGGACATTTTCACAATGAAAAATAAATATCTCAAAACTTTGTTATCAGTCAAGGTTGTCACAATACTTGCTTAACCTTTACATAAGTATGCATATTCTCCATTTCCTTAGGTGCTTACAAGGAGAATTTTTCTAACAATCAAATGCATCTTTAGTTGGTGATCATTTCCTGTATTCTCCTGACCTTAATGTTTGATTCAGGGTGATATTGTGAGGAGAAATTGCCCGTCACTCTTAGTGTCAAAGGGATAATCTTATGCTGTTACTTGAGCCAATGGTGTAGAATCTGTGTGAGACTTATCTGTCTGTAGATTGATAAGTGTGTTGCTGCTTTCTGCAAGTTCACTGATCGTCACTCTTCCGCGTTGCTTGATGAACTTAGCTACAGCTTGCAATTCTTCAGGGGATATGTAAATGAATTTCCCCCGATCATCTGTCACTCCTAAGACATGGTTTAAGCAAATAAGTGCCTACTCAAACTTGAAAGCTTATAAACCATTATATGAAATATTGATGATAAAGATTTCACTGAAAGTCCAAACTTTTTGTGCCAAGAAAAACTAAAAATTTGTCATGTTCACCATTTTCCATCTCTGGTCTGAGCCTTATGCTGCATTTAAACAAAATTACATTTGTCACACATCAACATTTAAGTATTGTCTTTGTCCCCTAAAAACAGTAAAGGCCAAGTCAGCATGTGATTGTAAGAGCCTTCAGGCCAACTCTGTGAGAGTATGTCATAGTTTCATTGGCACGTTGTCTAAACAATTAAAAGCACTGTTACTCTCCTGGGATGGATGCTTATCCATTGGAGGGTTAACCTCCAGCATTTCATCAGACTTCCCAGACAGATTTTCAGTAGCCATTTAGACCCCTAAGAGAAGGGAGGTACTGAGGGAGTGAATTATCTTTCCCAAGAACAAATCACAGTAGTATAGCCATAACTACAACCCACACCCTTTCAGATCCAGAGTCCACTGCAAAAACCACAATGCTGCCACATGAACAGCAACCAAGCTACAAAACTGGTCTTGTAAAATGTACTAAAATATTCCTGGCCACTATTAAGTGTAACAAAACAGTTGTGGATAACTGAACAACTGTACAATAATTGCTTGATACCTGTTATCCTTTCCATTTCCTGTAAAGCTTGTAGTCGGTCAATAGCATCTTGAGTGCGAAGACCAAACTGACAAGCTAGCTCCTCCAACAACACCACTTTGTTAGTCTGAAATGTAATGCACAATTGGAATTGAGGTACTTTTAGATGAACTATTAAGATTCAAGAAAAATTCAGGCCACTTTGTGTCTTAAATACAAAATTTACACAAAGCCTTAGAGACAAAAATTGTGAGAGAAACAAATTATTACACATTTAAAATCTTAACCCTTTACACCCTAACATCAGTATGCACATTCTCCATAATGTTATCTAAACATTTCTTAGGGTGCTGACAAGGAGAATTTGTCTATCAATCAAGAGCTTCTTAGTTGGTGATCACTTCCCTTATTCTTGTAACCTTAATGTATGATTCAGGGGTGATATGGTAAGGAGAAATTAGATGCCAGTGACTCTTAGGGCTTAAAGGGTTAATATTTTGTTTTTTGAGTGGAACCTGAAGGTAGCAGCAGTGCATCAATATAAAAGTTGATCTACTTAGCCACTCTTATCCAAGCTTACAAATTTAATTTTTCAAATCTACTAACCTTTATGTAGTTCACAAATTCTTCCAGAAGTGCTTCAGACTTGGAAAAATAAACAATGAAAATATTTGGTAAATTTAAAAAGATATTTTATTACAAATTAAAGTGAAAATAAGCTAAAAAATAATTTGCACATAAATTGATTCTCTATTTAATCATTAAGAATATTCTTGAAGTGTAAAGCTGAAATTGTTAAGATTGACAATCATGGACTATAGTAGTTGTCAGTTTGAACAAAGTTGGTGATGTATACAATTCATCTTCTATGATGATAGTTCAATAAAAATAATTTCTAGCTTTATCCTCTCTTGAATAATCCCTAGCCCTTTTTCACTGAACATTGGAATCAATCAGAACAACAGTCTATAGTCTCAAACAGGTCAGTTTTGTAACACAGTGGACTGGGGCTGCATTTAGACAGGATGGCAACTGAGAAAAGAATAACTGGAAAGCCATTCAATTAACAAGTACAGATGATATTTTGGATCTGCATCACCTCCAATTTACTGGAATAAACAAATACTACAAGAAATCCCTGACTGGATAGACTTACTTCTTCTGCTGTCTCACCAACACCTTCCTCTTCCACTGTAAACTGTTCTTTTAACAACAGATATTCTTCATGTTCTTTCCGTTCTTGTTCCTCCTTTCTCTTGCGTTCCTCTTCTTCCTGAAATGAAGTTTGGATCAAAATTAATTATACTTTGCAAGATAGATGCGCTCAAACACAAACTTTGGCTTTTGCATTTGTCACACACTGAGGTTAATTTACCTTTGGCTTAACAATTTAAAGTGAACAAATTGAGTGTGTTGATTTACCTGTTGATACAGTTCAGAAGTCTCTTTAGAATAGACAAACTCATTGAGGAGTTTTAATCTTGACCACATGTATATTTATTAATAAGACCGCCTTTTTTACCTGTTTTAAGATATTAAGATCATTCTTGCAAGACAAAACGTCTGTAAAAACCCTGTTTGTATAAAGCTGATGTGGAAGAGAGTTTGTTGTTTAATTTTGCTGTTGTTCTTTACAATTTGTCAATAACTGTTTGAAACACACCAAGTAAAACAAAGTGAACTCATCAAAGAACTGAGTTCATCTCTTCCAAATCAGTTAAACAGAAACATTCTTGACCAATGGTAAAAGTAAACACAGACTGAAATTGATATTAATCAGCCTGAAGACCCCAAGAGTATTCACTGCTGGTTGTTTTGCCAGAAACACTTCCATAAAAAATAAAAATGGTCGATTACTATTCCTCAGGAAGAACCAATTCCTTGTTCATCAGATTCAACTTGGATCAAAGTCAGACTCTGAGCAACTGTGTACCTTCCTCTAACACAAGAACAGTCAACTAATAACAAGTTAATGTTGGGTTGGGGGAGCAGTATGCATGCAGTTGCTCAGATACTTACATTGATATGTCAACTCTACAAAAAAGTACAAACCAGTCGTTCTTCTTCTTTTCTCCTTCTTGCTTCTTGTCTCTTCCTTTCTTCATCACGTAATGCTTCCCGTTGCTTTTTGTCTTCTCTCTCAGCCTCCATTTGCTTTCCAAAGAAAAATGTATTTCAATCATCACACACGTTTCATAACAATGCACTCTTCTCCAAATGATGACCACAAACTTTAAATCTAATTACAGACAGTAACCCTCAGAACAAGTAAAGCAACAGTTAAAATAACTTTTTCCATATGTGCCAATTGATGATGTAATTGGTGGCTGAGCCCAAAAAGGGGCCATTCGACATAAGCTAAACACAAGTGACAGCCTGCTCCAGGCACTAAACAGACAGCTGTAAGAGGTCCTATAGGTAATGGTAGACCCTTGGTAACCTTCTTTTATTAAAATGCCCAATAGAAGCATGAGTTAGGTGGTATAAATTACTATTCCTTAAATGATGGTCTCAAATTGTTCATATTTTCATTTGCAAGTACTGGTACCTTATATTCCATATTGAATTTTTGCTAGAAGTAAATAGAGAATAATATATGGGCGCATGTAGATATGGAATTTCTCTTTGAGCGTTTAACTTGATAGCTCACGAGTGAGCGCAGAGAACAAGTGAGATGTCGAGTTAAACACAAGAATAAAAATTCCATATCTACAAGCAACCATGTATTATTTTGTTTATCATATAAACACACTAGCCCTTTGCTGGGAAGAAAAGCCAACTTCGTTGATGAATGAAAACAAATGAATCAACAATCCACAAATAACAATCATAGAGTGCATTGGCATTAACTCTTAAGATGGAAAAATGCATTGAATCATAATTACAAAAACAACAATGGTCATAATTTTCAATTTACAAATTCTCATTTATTGACTTTGTCCTCATCGACAGAAGAAGTCTTTCAGGTAAATGGCCAAAATTGGCCAGTGGCAAATCTTCTAGTAGTCAATTTTCATTCTCAGACGAGAGAAATGTTGACACCAAAGCCACTGACTTTCGGTTTTTCTTTTTATTACTATATTGGTTTTCCTTCCCCTTCACAGTCTGTCAGGGACACAGATTTTTTAGTGTTTTAGCCGCCATAATTCGAGAAAGCTCCAACAAAGAACTTTTATTAAGAATCATGAAGGCTTTGCCGTTCATTCATCAACCTGACTGAGTGGTGCCAAAGGCAAGTGACATGTCAGCAGCTGATTGGCTGTATCAACACACGTGAAAAAATATGATGTTTTTTCATGTGTGTTGTTATGGCTTTTCTCAGAGCCAGAAATCCCTGTATAACACCACAGTTTATAAATGTGATAAAAGGTGTTCACACAAGTACAGGTATTAATTTTTTTTAAATCAAGATAACCTTTCCACTTCCACAAGTGTACATTTAATACTTCCTCCCTACAAAGTTTATAAACAGTTGAAAGGTAGTATAGTCCAAGAAAGTTATCATATATCATGTTGGCTTGGTATAACTTACACATCTTACAAACACTTAACAAAGAAATGTTTAACTTGCTATCTAAAAATTTCACCCTATTGCAAGTTAGCCCCTATCACCTTTGTGAGTTTGCCCCTGAAGTAAAACAAGTTCACCCTCACCTTTACCACTTTTGCTCACAAATGTTTTAACTTGTTTACTTATAGCAGAACATATTCCTCTTTAGGGCAAAATTATCAGTTATCTGAACAATTATCCATAAACAGCAATAATCATACCTCTCTGAGTTGTCTCTTCTCCTCTTTCATCTCAAGTTTCCTTTGTTTTTTTGCTCCAATTTTTCCCACAGGCATCTGATCATCAAGCCCCATGGAGTAACTTTCTGTCCCTATTACAAGATATAAATTAAAATTTGAAATTTTGACTAATACTCCTTGCCAAAAAAGGAATTCAATTCAATGAAATAAATTTTTATCTATCTATCATCCATCACCTTCATAATCGTCATCATCTTCATCATCATCATCATGCACCCTTCTGGATGTCATCAGTGAATGAGCTGTTCTTCCACGTCTCCTTGCTCCACTAACTTCCCTAACATTGTCTACTCGGTCTGGTTGTCTAGATGTACCTAACAAATAAACATATTAAAAAACTCTATCATGATATTTTCTTGGATATACTTGTTATCATGAAGCTATAAAAGTTTGTAAGCTACACAGTTCATCCTTTAACTCCTAGAAATGATGAACATATTAAACTACATTGCTCATGTTGTAGAGCACCAGATCACCTTGCAGGAGGTTAAAGATTCAAGCCCCAGACTGGACCAACACCCAGGGTCTTAAAATAACTGAGGTGAATGTGTTGCCTTTGCAATGACATCCACAAAATAGTTAGACATTCTAGTCTTCTTGGATAAAGACGGTAAAACATAGTCCCCCTTTCCTGCATCTTCTCTGCACTGGTTAGCAGATGGTGTTAAAGAACCCACCAAATTCTCACAAAGAGTAGAGAACATAGCTCCTTATGTTGTGGTGTGGCCTTGTCATTGTTTATACTGGCCCCCATTTTAACCAGCTTTGAGCTGAACTGGGCCAGCCTGTCTAAATGTTGCAAATACATACATACATTGCAAATAAGTCTCCCTGTAGTATCTTAACCAGCAAATGGGTTATGAGAATACTCAAACTTATCAGGTAGAAGTTGCTATCTTAATTGAACACCAAATTCTCACTACTACTGCACAAGGAAATGTGTAGCAGTTAGAGGAGAGAATTAACAATCAGATCTTGGAAGTTAAAGGGTTAGGAGAATTAACCATCTGCATCAGCATGATCAGAATCATTATCATTATCTTTCCATATATCAATTCCATTAAAAAGGAAAAAGTAAAAATTATAGAATATTACCATTTTTTTAAAACAAAACACCACTGTTACATGTATATGAGTAACCAGGTGAACCTTGCATTATAAACCATTCATATGAGAATCGACAGCAGAGTTTTAACATTATAAGGGCAAATTATATTAAAACAAAGCCATAGTTCCAAAGGCAATGTATCGTTTCCGCCATTGTTTTCATGAAGAACTGGATGCTTAATGAAGCACGGGACAGTAAGGAAATCTTGCCCATCATAATCCAGACTGGGGTAAAATAAGGTACAATAGACTGACTCTGTATTACACAAGCACAAAAAATGATAATCTGCTCACAAGTTACTTTGCACTCATATCAGACAGTCGCATTTTGAGATTTTAAATATTCCGTTACTTTGATCCACTTTCCCGATCGTTTTCTGTTAGAGCGATCACGAATTCCTCCCATTTCAAACTGCTTTTCATTATCAAACGCGAATTTCCACTGAGTCCTTCAACAAATGAATGAATAAGCTTGGTATACGTAGTCTATCTGATGCATTCAAGTTCCTAAAATTGAACATTTGGTTATGCTTGGTACTGATTTTATCTGTAGAAGTTTTTAAAGAAGTAGTAAAAAACCCACCTTTCTTATTTTTCTTCTTGTTTCTGTTCGCCACAAAAGTAGCTATGAGTAAAATTATCCCCACAACAGCCGCTATTATCAGCCAAATTACTGCCGCGTTAACCACCGCCATCTTGATCTTATTTCCTTTTGTCGGAGAAACACTGGGCCCCAGGTTTAACCAAGGTGCTGGTACCCGCGGGACTACGGGACAAGGAAAGACTTCAGAGCGGGAGGGTAATTCAGTATCTTCTAAGAGATCCTCAGACTGTCTGTTTCCTCAGCACCCCCTCTCACTCCCCCCTCCACCCACCTCCCGCGCGTGTTCTGGGCGATGATCGATGATCGATGATCTGAGAGAAAGTGGAAGGTCTGTGGACGGTGGATTATAATAGGGTACAACCTCGTTCCTGGGGTTTCTCTTCCATTCCTAGAGAGAGTAATGAAGAGAGGACATGGGAAAGAGGTGGAATGAGGCTCTTAGTTTGACTTTTGTTCTTTATTTTCAGAGCGGGGGAAGAGAGGTAAGAACTAGTTAGGAATTTCTACGAACATCTTGTTTCAGGAGTTTCTGCAAAATCCCTTAAAAAAATGTAACTTCTGACGTTTGAGGACATGGGACCGAATTAGTCAGATACTAAAATTGGGATGACACGTTAAAGAGATTTGCGTGGCATAATGGAAGTTTCGGATTCAGTTTAAGCGTTTCGCGGGAAAATTAAGCTATTTAAGGTTGGTCCGGTCTTAAGTTTGACCACCTTCTTCTCTTGTATTTGTTGTAATTTTCGTTTTCCAATCCACTGCGAAATATCATTACAACCTTTTTTTTTTTTTTTTTTTCATATCTGACATCGCACAGCTTCCTTTGGTAGAACCCCTAGTTTTAGGGTGCACATGTTAAGACTGTCTCAGGATGTATGTATTAGGACACTGACTTACTCATCCTAAATAACCTTTTCACATGAAAGGTCTGGTGTAAGCCTGGTCAGAATCCAATATTATTGTCACATAACATGTTCTCTCCAGACACAAACTTTGTAAGGAAATAATTCATTTCGAAAATTAATATAAACATGTGTTAATACTAAACTAAAATATCTAAATATTGCGGTTACAAATATATCTACATGGATCCCTTAACTGTTAAAATATCATATTTTATCGATATAACCAACAAAGCGTTCATTAATGTCTTTTTACATATCGACTTTCGTTATGAAAATATAAAATGCAGCCAGAATAAGGGAATACAACGTGATTGAGAATTATTTTTTTCTCTAAAAAATCAGAGTTTCGTCAATTTTGAAGTCTGCATACTTATTTGCTTTTCGTATCTGCCCGAGGAAGTTATCTGTAATAAAAAAACTAAAATAAATACAGAATTTGAGTTTCATGCCTTGAAAACATTAGAAACTGTCGCAAAACTGTGTAAATTTTGTTATGGTGAACATAAATCATAATCGTTCACCGTCAAAATGATTGGCATTTTCAATGCGATATACTAATATTAAAGATTGAAAAATTTCATTGCCCTTTTATATCAAAAGCGAAACCATCAAAAATATTTAAGACTTAAAAAAAATGTACATTTACTTTTAAAATGGCTGGCTTCACCTTAGATATAACAGTAAGACTCGGGTTACTATTTAAACAGGTGTATCCTCGTTCGAAAAAAGCGGGAAAAGTCCCGTACAATAATCCACGTTTGAAGTTGGATAATTTGACTGGCTGAGAAAAAAACAACCTCAAATTGCTTAGAGCAACGATGAACGAGTGTAATAGCCTGCAATAGCAAAATTTGGGCAACATGCTCGTTACACGCTACTGTGTCCTTTACTTATTTAGTGCTTCACAATCGATTAGTAGGCTATACTTCAGAACCTCAATTTTCTTTAACAATTTAGCTCTAAAATATACTTCTCTTTTTAAAGTACTCAACCTGAAATCTTACTCAGGTATTCTACTTAATTCATTTTCTTGCCTGGTGCTTATTAACTCGTATTACTATTGTCATCACGTTGAATTCAAGCAAAAACACGCTTTCTTCAAACGTATTTGTGTGATTAATTTCACATTTTATCCAGAAAGCAAAACAGGGCAGAGTAGAAGTCAACATGAAACTAACCACTTAAAACTAGACTTTTCTAATGAGAACTAATGAATTCCCTCATGAGGCAAAAATCTAAAATATTGCACTTTTCGTTCTTCTTAAAATTAGCAGAGAATTATCAATAACAAGTTACATCTCCAAAATGAACAATCAACTTTAACTATGGCAAATGAAAACCAAAAAGACATATCTAAAGGAAGGTTCAGAATAGATTGGCTCCGATTCATTTTCCAACAATTGGCTCCGATTCATTTTCCAACAATCTGATAAACGAGGCTGGAAACCATCAGCAATCCAAAGCCGATTCCATCATAATTTAAGACTATTTCAATAACGGTGCAAAATAAGTTTCGTTGATAGTTTAAGTTCATAACTATCCAAACACTTGCCATCCAAAGAGCTGTACTTTCCATGGAAGCTGTTCAGCCAGAAAATTGCAAGGACAGAAGAAACAATTGGAGAACGTCTCTGATTCAAATTATTTGACTGGACAAGCAGCAGTAAGAGACGTGGACCCTCCTGACCTGAGATCAACATGATGCTGGCTGTAGTAGTCGACTAATTCCACTATGGTATCAAATTGCTGCAGGAAGTAACAACAATGTATCGACAGATCAGAGGATCAATATGGAGTATATACACGTCTTATCAATCAATCAATCAATCCATCAATCAATTAATAAAAACGGGCAATCTTCGATTGAGTCTCAAAGGTAATCCTTAATTGTTTGGTTTTGCTTTACTTCGTTATGTGGTTGGTCCAGAAAAGTCACGCCACTTTCAGAACCAATCAGACTCAAAACGGAAACCAATCGCGACTTGGTCGCTTGCGCTTTCCCGCGTTGGAGTTGGAGTTCTAATTGGCTAACAAAGGTGTCAACCTTCGCTCCGACTCGATCAATAAATCGCTCAATGAAAACTGCTGTAAAGAAAGAGTAAATCGTCCATTCAATGTGCTTCATATAGGCGAGATAGTCCCTATATCTTTCTGTCTGTCTGCCCACTAATCCGTCCGCGTAAGTCAATAAGGAGACTAGTACCTAACTCAGTCGGTCGATCAATTGGCCGGTCAGTTGATTACTTTGTCAGTTAGGCAGAAGATAGCCTCTTCGGTGCGTTAGCTCTGTCACCTATGGTCATTTACTTGCTAAAAGAGTCAGTTATCATTCAGCCAGTGAGCCATGCTGTTCAGCAAGTAGATCGCTTTGTTCGTTGGGTGGTCGACTGGTCATTTGGTCGGTCAGTCATTCAGTCAGATCAATAAGTCAGTCAGACCAGTCAGTCAGCCAGTCAGTCAGTCAGTCAGTCAGTCAGTCAGCCAGTCAGTCAGTCAGCCATTCAAACAGCCAGTCAGTTAGTCAATCAGTCAGCCATTCGACCAGCCAGTCAGTCGGTCAGTTGGTCATTCTACCGGCCAGTCAGTCAGTCAATCAGCCAGTTGGACAGTCATCAGTTAACTTTCAATTAGTGAGTCAATCAGTCACCCAAGTGGTTAGTTTATATTCAATAAAGGGGGTAAGTTTTATGGGTTTAAGCTGCGTTGGTGGAGAGTATAACAAGGAAATTTGGTTTTATCAACTGAGTTGATAACGTACATTGGCCACCATTAAGAGTTTGAAAGCTGACGTTTCGAGCGTTAGCCCTTCGTCAGAACGAATGGAGGAATTGTGGGTTGTGTGTTCGTTTAAATGCAGAGAATACAGCGAAGCTATTGGCGGGAATATGGTGTTATCCACTCAGCTGATGATACCAAATACCCAGTTAATACTCAGTCGGTTCAGTGGTACGTGAGCCAATCAATTGTCGGTCCACTGTCTGCAACTCAATTATTGTTAATTTTCCTTCCTGTTCGTGACCCATTTAGTGCTCCCTTACCACTTTTCCACTGTCTCCAAGAACATATTTCCTATTTTGAAGCCGAGGTATTCTAGCAAAAGATGAAAAAACGAACAGCATAAGTTTGGTATTAGAATTTCGATAAGAAAACTGTATCACTCTGGTTCACGGGAAAATTTGAATACACTAGCAACGACTGTGAAGAGCTAGTTCCTTTGTCTCTATTAATTTTCCTGCATTCTGTAGCTGAAACAAATCTGCCTGTTCCTTATCATGCCAACACATAAGAGTGCTGGTACTACTGCATATGTGCTCACTCACCTCAGGTGCCGTACACTTCTGTTGAAATACAACGACATTGAATAGCTATTAGGATCTTTTGAGCTGTTGCGCACAATAAATGCTCCTTCCTGTGGAGAAAAACAGATGTCAAGCCTTAGGAACGACAGCGATTGTTTGTAAAATGATCAGAAAGGATAGACAAATGATTGCTTACTTGTTGTGGTTGATTGACTTAGTAACTGTGTTAGTGAGTGAGTGAGTGACTATCTGACTGCCCAACTGAATGACTAAATGATTTACTGCCGCAGTCAACAAAGGCAAAAAATGGAAATGAGGAAAGCTTAGAAGAAAGGAATAAAAAGCTGAAAAGCAGACCTTAGAAAATGAGTTCAAGGCGTTTTCGGCTACTTTTTTGTCCAACGGGCCAAGGAACCAGGGATATTGCTTCAGCGGATCAGCAGACTGAAAAAAAAAACAAAGAGCAAAATGGGTATAACTGAAAACTTACAAAGTATTTGAAAAGAAAAGGACACCTGTGGATGAGCTAATTAACTCATTTAGTTTACCTTCTGGTCTGGCAGTGGAGGAAGAGCCTGAGATTTCCTTTGGGAATCTAAATCACTGCAAAAATAACATAAGAAATGCAGAATAAAAATAACACATAACCAACAACTATTCAATCACTTTCAAAATAGGAGTAGTGGACTGCTTGCCCCGCTTAAAAAAAAAAACAAACAAACAGAGAGAGAGATAATCAAACTATTCATAATTTACTAAAATGAAAGGGCCAATTTAGTCAGAACATAACGGCTAAAAATTACGTAGCTACAAATACATCCTTTAAGATGCAACTCATGACTATAAACTCATTCCACACAAAAAATTCTTTCTCATATAACTGGAGGGTGAAAAAGTGAGAACACAAAAGGTCAGATATTG